GTGGAGCACACGTAGCTTCCCAACTTACCCTTATCCACCTATAACAATTTGCCAGGTGTCTTCCATTTTGTAAATGGCAAATATATATTTGCCCACTCGTGTTCCCCTCTTCAATTCATTGCCATCAAATCTTCATTATTGCTACTACCAAAGTCTTTTCCAATTAATTTTGGTAATTTATGCCATATTGATTAGCTAATTTTGGTAAGATTATTCATTCCAATTTAACATTTTTATTTTTATTGTAAATTTCTATAAAATGATCATTAGATCTGTATTTTGGTTTGTAAACGTCATATTATGGTGCATTTGAAACTGTATTTTGGCACAAACGAATACAAACTAGAGAAACATTTAGACATAATCTAGAAGATTCTGTTGAATTTGACAACGTAAGGGTGGACGTGTAAGAAGATTTATAGTAAAATAGACTGACTGTAATTACCCAAATAGAAGAGGTTTTTTCGTAATTTTAGAAACCATTAATTACTTCGATTAATTAATTAATTAAGACATCAAAATACGAGTTAAAGCATAAAACATGAACGTTTTCCAGCTCAAAAGTAAAAAAAATTGCAATGCTCAAGACATGCATGCCAGCTTCTCTATTAACCTCATGAACTCAAATTTAAACATGTAATTAATTTAATCCAATATTAAATCTTGCAACTCCATTTAATTGAATTTGTAAATATTATATGCCAATATTTTTAAAATTATAAATTTATTTTTATATAACATATTATATGTGAACTCCCATTAATTAGGAATATAAACTTTCATCATTTATCAAGGCTATATTCTTTTAGTGGTGGTAGTGCTTGATGACAACTCCATCCAAAAATTAAATAAACAAATAATAAAACAAATTATAGATTTTTTCGCAGGTGTAATAATTAGTACTTTCTTGTTTTTATAGTAATAATTAAAACAATTTTTGTAAATTAATTTATTATATATATTTATCCGAAATCACGTAGAGCAACAGCTGTGAAGATATTAATGTGAATTTCGATAAGAAATGAATATTATTGGCTCAAGCTCGAGTTCAAGTTCGATTAGCTAGAAAAAAAATTGCAAAATTTGTACTTAAAAAATTAAGTTATTCGAATTCGAAATGTTTCGTTGGTTTTCGTTAAAACTCGTACGAGTTCGATTCGATTGCTGATCAAATTAAGATTAGGGTAATTTGTAAATTAAATGAACTCATTTGCACTTCTAATTCTCTTCTATTGAACTATTTAATCTCACCATAACAAAACAAAATTACATCATCCGGAAAAATCACAAAATTGAACCCAAAAAAAAGAAAAAAAAATCTGATTTTCAGCTTATAAGCTATTCTTGAGATGCTTCTCTATTTTCTTGGATTCTCACATCTGTTTGATTCTGATCTTTCGGAATCTGTTCATCAAAATCACTTTCTCTGTGATTTTTACCGTTATTAATATTCTCATCGTTAAAAGAAGAAGCTCTGCTAGTGGCGGCGGTGGTGGGGGTGGCCAAGAAAGTGGGCTTCACATCTCCGGCCATGATAACCAGAAACTTCTCCTCAAACGCCGCCGTTGCCTTGGCGGCGGAGTTGTTCTCGCCTTTTGCGGCGGCGCCGCCTTCCTCCAAGTCGTCGTCACCCTCGCCGCCGTTGACTTGGCCGGAGAGCTTCCAGTAAGAGCAGGCGAGGATGAGTAGGGCGAAGGCGATCAGGCCCAGCATCGCCGCCAGGCCGCCGAAGAGGTACGGCACCGGGGAGTGCCACGGCGAGCGCTGGATGGTGGCCGGCGCCGCGGCGGTGGTGGTGGTGGTGGCCATTCTTGATAGTGGAGATGAGTGAAATAAGGTGGCAACGGTTCTCATTTTTGTTTGTTTTGTATGAGGTTGTCTGAAGTGGAGAGAGGTAGGAAAAAAGCCTGCGCTGGTT